CACTTGTAAGGTTTTTCTCCAGTGTGTACTTTCAAATGCCTTTTCAAATCACATGCTTTCTTAAACTGCTTAAAACAAATTTCACACTTGTAAGGTTTTTCTCCAGTGTGTACTCTCGAATGCCTTTTCAAATCACCTGCTTGTTTAAACTGATTAAAACAAATTTCACACTTGTTAGATTTTTCTCCAGTTAGTGTCTCCATAAATTCCATTGTGTGTTCTTCTTGGACATAATCTAAAATACAAACCAGCTAAGTATATTATCAATTAATTAATATTAAACTGGGAATAAGCCACAATTAAAGATAAAAATATGTTTATTGACGTTTCAATTTCCACTTCGGAAATCGTTCTCAAAATACAAAGAGTAAATTAAACAAATTTTGTTTTTTGTTACATAGTGAAAAATTCTTCTAATAATTTAATTTTATCTGACTCATTTATATTGACAATTCAGACATACATTATGCATTTTAAAGTAGACGACTTTAAAATGATATTGTCAATATTGTTGAGTTGCGCTCCTGGGACGATTTTACTTATAAGATAGTTCATTCGATTACATGAAATCAACTTTAACTCAACAATATTGACAATATCATTTTAAAGTCGTCTACTTTAAAATGCATAATGTATGTCTGAATTGTCAATATAAATGAGTCAGATAAAATTAAATTATTAGAAGAATTTTTCACTATGTAACAAAAAACAAAATTTGTTTAATTTACTGTTTGTATTTTGAGAACGATTTCCGAAGTGGAAATTGAAACCTTATTCCCAGTTTAATATTAATTAATTTACAATGCCACAAGAAAATAGCTTCAGAACAATATATATTACAAATATTTGAGTATTATAAGTAAAAATGAGTCCAATAATCAAATTAAAGCATAATAAAATTGAAGACAGTTGAAATAGTAAATGATATAAACATGTTTTAAAAACCTGTGTACATATGTGTAATAGTCAGCCCTATTGTCTGAAAAAACTGCTTAAAATAAATTTTATATTTGTAAGACCACCTCATTGCCAGACTTTTTCGCAATGCAGCATATTTTGAGATTTATTTTCTTTTATTTAACTTAAATATCAGTAACCAATTTATAAAAAAAAAAAACAGAAAATAAGGAAAATGATCTGCAGGCCCAAAAAGGATCATAATTAAATTTACTACTTTTCAAGCGCTTAAAGAGTGAATAGAGGCATTGACTACTTTCATCAGGTTCTGGATGTTCCTAGTCAATGGAAGTTGCCTATTTGGCAGATGATTTCCATCACTGTTCTAACTTAATCTTCAATCTCTAGTTAGTTTTTCTTGGTCATTTTAGCATCTGCAGGCTGTCCCATTATTATTGATATCCTATGTATAATTACAATTAGAAAAACTACTTAATATTTTTTGTTTTCAAATAAACTAATTTACAATTGTTTATGCATTTATCATTATTAATTTGACATTGCATATATAAAAAGTAGCTTCCCACCTGATGTAAAGCATGTTTTTGAACATCTGTCAGATAGTGATTCTGCCTCTGAGAATGAAAGTTCTGAAGTCCATCTGCCACAAACACCCAGAAAAGTAAATTCTTAATTACATAATACCACACCAACATCCATATTTACTCCAATAAAACAAATAAGATAGCAAAGGTAAAAAATTAGGATAAAAAACTGAATGAAACAGTTAACGAGGTTTCTGTCTAGTCCTATTGTGAGGTGGCTGTATCTCAAAAATTGGTAAAAAACAAGTAAGAAGTAACAAAATTAATTATTTTCAAAATTAATACTGGGCCAATGATAAAAAGTAGATTTTCAACAAGTTTTTGATTTTAAGTTGTTCTTTTCTGCAGTGTCACCTGCAAGAAATGGAGATGCATTCAAAATGGAATCTTTTGCAAAATATAAAAAGATGCTTAGAATGCCAATAAAGTTGAGGAGTGGGGAGGAAAAGTGAAATAGGTTACTACCAATGGTCAAAGATACAACAAATGATATGAACAAAATAAAAATGGAAAACTATAAGAATTAAGCTGTGAGCAAACTAATGGAAACTTTTCGTCGAGTGTGCATTCTTGTAAGTTATTTCAAATCATATGCCAAGGTCAAACTGTTCAAAAGATTTTTTTTCACACTTGCAGGGCTTGTTTCCAGTGTGCAATCTCATATAGAGCTAAAGTTAACAGAATTATTTACTAAACAATTTGGTGTAACATTCCCAATGCAAAGTAAATTGAAGAAAAGATCATAGTATAAGTGACCTTCCCTACAGTTTTGAAATGGAAAAAAATCCTGTTGAAAATATGCTCTAGCAATATTTCTTCAAAAATCTCATAATTGTATTGGTTTATTTGTAGTGCTATAAAATAGTACACATTGTAAAGTGCAACCAAAGAATATAATAAGCGTCTATATTCTTTGGTGCAACATTCATTATATTGGTAAATAACACAAACTATAATTTTGTCTCTGAATCTCATTTGATATTTTAGAAAATTTTAGTAATTTTGTACATCCCTACCAAAGAATATAGACGCTTATAGAAGAATATTTCACTGTTATGTTTGAAAGTTTGCAAAAGATGATCACACGTTCTGAAAAAGAATGAGAGGGTGGATCGAGAAGGGAGCGGTCATGTCAACGCTATTATTGCTTTTAAAATATGAAAGAGTGGGGCAACAAATGCAACAGATATTTTTATGTATAATGCCAGAGAACTACGAACACAATATAATGCCGCGTGGCCGTAGAATAGGATTAAATTTTTGCGTTTTATATTTTTTAAAGAAAATAATAATATTTTAACTTTTAATATATGAATCCTATTAGAAAAAATATTATGATTCGAATTTTTAATTTAAATAGGTACAAATCTACAAATAATATTATAGTTAATAAGAAGAACTCTCTTCTTATTAACTATAAAATTAATTCAACCACTAAAGTCATCAATCACCGGAATTAAATATTTCCAAATTTTCTAAATTTAATAATTTCTTCTTTGTTTTTAATATAAAATAACAAAATTTAAAACACAACACTGTTTTTTCTGCAGAATAATGGAAACATGTCTAAAAAGCTTAATGAAAAGTCCTGAGAAAATCAAATTTTTGGTTGAATTAACCCAAAAATTAACGAAATATTTTAAAAAAATATTTCGTTAATTTTTGGGCAGAAAAACAGTATAATAAAAATTGATGTGACGGTTTTTCGTTGTGTTGGAACAAACCTATTTTTAATTCAAAGTTATAAAATGTAAAAAATAAATGCTTTGAATATTGTAAATATCATACCTTTGTAAATTTCAAAATTCAAAATTTAACAAATTAATATATTGAAAATAAAGATTTTATTGTGAAAACAAAAACAAAAAAAGCATGGGATTTTTTTTAATCGTAGATGCAAAGTTAAATAAATAGCTCCGTTCGTACTCCTTTCCCACTTTCCCCTAACTACATCTTTTATGAGATAGTTTAAGCCGACTGCCAGATGTGTTTTAAAGTGTAAACCCTAACCAAATCGTCCATTTGAACTGTTCTTCTATAAGCGTCTATATTCTTTGTTCCTACTATAACAACTTCTAACAATAAGAAGCAAATTTGTAATTTTTAATATACAATTAATTTTTATCACTTTATATTGATAATCAATGTCATTTACTTACTTTCTTCATTATTTGATGTTTGTTTTTCTTCAAATAGATTAAATTCACCTTCTCCTACTTTAGGCTTAGAGTCTACAGGAAAGTTTAAATAATCAAATGTGTTGTATGCACTTTCTTTCTTGGGTTCTTCCTTAATTTCAATTTTTACGGCATTCAAAGGACCAACACATATCTCATCTATTTCTATTTTACAAGATTTTTCACTAGTTTCTTGTTTTATTTCCATTTTATGGCAGAAGTATAATATAAAAGCATATAATAGAGAAAGTGCCGATAAACGTCATGTCAAATTTATGTTTGCGGTGTTGCCATATTACAAATAAATCAGGAAAGAGCATGAGATATAATATTAATTAATGTTACTAAACATTCTTTTTAAGTTTTTAAAAGAAGTTTAATTAATTTAAATTTAATTTATTATAATTTAAATTACCTTCAATTTTTTAAGCTTTTATTCAGATACCATTTCATCCCAAAATTATAAGAAAATATTCATAAAATTGAAATCTGTTAAACATCTGTTGCAATCTGGCAACTACTTTTAACCGTATTGCCAAGTTTATTTACTAATCTACCAAAGGCCAATTATAATTTTTTCATTTTTTCATATTAACTGCAACTAATATGAAAAAAAAAACAAATATTAATTCGTTCGTATTTTATATGAATTTAAACATTTAAAATAAATACCCGATTTTATAAAATACTATAATAAAAATGAACTGTTTATAATAAAATATTAATAGTAAACAAACTAAATAGTAAATAAAATAGAACTTTATGAATTACCGACAATCAATATTTATTTATCCTCACCGTATATTAACTAGTTATGTTAAATTATAACAAATAAAATATATACTACCCAAAATTTGATGGGTTTAGTATACACTTCCACTATTTCGAATAATTCTTCTTTTTTTCAAAGAAAGAAGTCTGTAATAGTGGTATACTTGAGCTATTAATACTGAGAAGTAGGGATTGTTGTGTTGTAGGTTTCCGACAATGAATCTGTCAAAATATGCCCGAGCAGAGCGAATGGAGTATAATAAGGACATGGCATCACTGCCAACGATTATGGCTTGAGGCTTGAGCAGAGACAGCAGAGAATATGTACTTGAGTGAGGCTATCTTCACTGGAACCAAATGTGAAATGAAAATCATCCAAGTTTTTAATTAATATCAAAGAAAGCCGCTTCTATATTCTCCGTTAATATTTTATGAATATATATGTGTTACTGAAACTCAACCGTTAACTTTTAAAATTTGTGTAAATGGTGAATTAGTTTTTTGAGTATAAATATAAAACTGAAATTGGTATCATTGGTATATAAATAAAATGGAAATAAAACAAGAAACTAGTGAGAAATCTTGTAAAATAGAAATAGGTTATGAGACGTGTGTTGGTCCTTTGAATGCCGTAAAAATTGAAATTAAGGAAGAACCCAAGAAAGAAAGTGCATACGACACATTTGATTATTTAGACTTTCCTGTAGACTCTAAGCCTAAAGTAGGACAAGATGAATTTAATCTATTTGAAGAAAAAACAAACATCAAATAAAGAAAGTAAGTAAATGACATTGATTATCAATATAAAGTGATAAAAGTTAATCATATAATAAAAATTACAAATTTGCTTCTTATTGTTAGAACTTGTTATGGTAGCTATGTACAAAATTACTAAAATTTTATAAAATATCAAATGAGATTCAGAGGAAAAATTATAGTTTGTGTTATCCAATATAATGGATGTTGCACTTTATAATATGTATTATTTTATAGTACTGCAAATAAACCAATACAATTTTTTTAACATTTTTGAAGAAATATTACTAGAGCATATTTTCAACAGGATTTTTTCCATTCCAAAACTGTAGGGAAGGTCACTTATACTATGATCTTTTCTTCATATGATCTTCATGATTGAATATGACATGTCTTGGAAACAACAAACGAAGGCAAACAAGTGTCCCTATTGTAAGTGTACAATAAATGCAAAAAATGAAAGGTTTCTTTGCATTAGGAGTGTTACAACAAATGGTTTAGTAAATAATTCAGTGAACTTTAGCTCCATATGAGATTGCACACTGGAAACAAGCCGTGCAAGTGTGAAAAAAATTCTTTTGGACAGTTTGACCTCAGCATATGATTTGAAACAACTTACAATAATGCACACTGGACGGAAAGTTTAAATTATTTTGCTCACAGCTTAATTCTTGTAGTTTTTCATTTTTATTTTGTTCATATCACCTTTTGTATCTTTGACCATTGGCAGTAACCTATTTCACTTTTCCTCCCCACTCCTCAATTTTATTGGCATTCTAAGCATCTTTTTATTTTTCGTAAAAGATTTGATTTTGACTGTATCTCCGTTTCTTTAACATGACACTATAGTAAAGAGCAACTTAAAATCAAAAACTTGTTGAAAATCTACTTTTTATCATTGCCCCAGTATTAATTGAAAATATTTTAATTTTATTACTAAATACTTGTTTTTTTAACAATTTTTGAGATACAGCCACCTCACAATACGACTGTACAGAAACCTCTTAACTGTTTCATTCATTTAGTTTCATTCAGTTTTTTAGTTGTTTTAGTTTTGTAATACCAAGGCTCTATAATAATATAACTTTTTAAATACTTAAACTTTACTCAGTGCTATATCCATATTCAACTATTACAGAATATAAATCTTTGAATTAGACGAAATAAATGCTCTGTGATGGGCTTTTTATCCTTATTTTTTGCCTTTGCTACCTTATTTGTTTTATTGGAGTAAATATTGTAGTCTTATTTGAATTTCGCGCCATTGACAGGTCTGATTGTCACTCAATTTGGAAAAAAAGAAGATAACCACACTTTATGTTTAGACTTGACACTTGTGATTATGAATTATGGCCATCTGAATGTTATGAAAACTATTATGTCGAATTATGTACAATTAGTGTTTCTTTCCGCTAAATAAACTTAAGAAAAACTAGAACAATATTATTTATTAACGGAGCCTACAGAATCAGAAGTGGGATTACGTGGATCGCCGATATTTTTGCAGATTTAAAAATTGTGTTTAGTATTGACGATAGCCATGCCGGGATCAGACACCGAAATTGAAAATACAAGTGGAAACACCGTCGCTCAGGCGAGTATAGCTGAAATTGTTCATACAGCGGTACAGGCAATCCTCGATTATGAAGAGAAAAAGAAAATTGCCGGTCCAGAAAATCAGATGCCGACACATAACCCCATAAAAATTACTAACAGTGAATTATCAAATTTAATGCCGGAATTTTCAGGCACAGACAAAAGCCAGAATGTTGCAATATGGTTAGAAAGAATAGAAAAAAATCAAAACTGTGTATAATGTTCCAACTGATATTTTACAACTGTTAGTCATTGGAAAATTGACCGGAAAAGCGAAGGAATGGTACCTCAGCAAACCAAATTTAATTTCCACAGATTGGACAGGTTTAAAAAATGAAATTAGGAGAATGTATGGGAGAACTTATGATCCAGTGTCGTCGAGAAGAAAGATGGAGACTAGAAGGTGGAAAAAGAGTGAAAGCTTTTCAGCATATTTCCATGACAAACTGTTACTGGCAACGAAGCAGGAGTTGAGGATGAAGATATGATACATTATCTGATTGATTGGTTTGATGATCGCCTACTTCAAAATCAAGCCAAAATGATGTTATCCACACTCAATAGCACTGAAGATTTATATAAGTTAATGGGGAGTGTTGTTAAAGATGAGGTATCAGGAAGTGGACAAAGGTTTGCTACAGCATCAAGTTATAGGGTAAGTTCTAGCCAGAACCAACCTCATACAGCAACACAGGGTCGGATGCCAGTTCCTGTAAAATGCTTTAATTGTGGTCGTACCGGACACAAAGTGACAGTGCAGACAAGCCAAGCGTGATAGGGGATCATGTTTTAGATGTGGAAGCAAAGATCATATGGTAAGAGACTGTCCTAATAGAAACCAGCAAGTGGTTGCAACAAGTTGCAGATTCAACTACCCGAGATAGTAATGGAGCCATGGGTCTAGTGGAACGTCCTATGAGCCAAACGGATCCTTTTGTATTAAACCTGGTTCTAGATAAGTATAGCATAACATTAAATGGTATAATAGATACAGGGAGTCCAATATCATTGATATCAGAAAATTTTGTAAAGGCAGAAGATATTATTTCTTCTACTAATATTGAATCTTATTCAGGTATAAATAAATCTCCTTTAAAAGTGTTAGGGTTTTTTTATGACACAGTTATTTTTGATGACATATCAGTAAATTTAAAATTTTATGTTGTTGAGAAAGATTCTTTTAGTTGGAATCTACTTTTGGGTCGAGATTTTATAAACAATGAATCCATAGAAAATATAAGTTTTTCAAATGGTTCTTTTAAAATAAATAAAAACTCTTGTGTACAAACAGAGGAGGACTATCAGTTTCCTTTTACAGATGTTTTGTTTATTAACGATATGGTAAATTTAGATGCAGACTTGAATATTAATTATTGTTTACCTTTTGAAATAACTACTAGTGTTCAAACTTTATTGAAGTCATATTACTTTGATTATGATAAACCATTAAAACCACAGTGTGATTTCAAAGCACAGCTTACTTTAACTAAAAATGAACCTTTTAGTATCAGACCATGTAGACTATCTTATGCAGAGAAAAAGTCATTGGATGAAATTCTTGCTAATTTATTAGAAAATAATGTCATTAGGGAAAGTGATTCACCTTTCTGTTCACCAGTAGTATTAACCAAGAAGAAGTCAAATGAATATCGAATGTGTGTAGACTATCGTACTTTAAATAAATATCTTATTAGAGATCAATTTCCCTTGCCGCTAATAGATGATCATTTAGACAGGTTAAAGAATAAGAAATATTTCTCTAAATTGGATTTGAAAAATGCTTTTTACCATGTTCCTTTAGATGAAAGTTGTACTAAGTATACTTCATTCGTTACACCTTCAGGTCAGTATGAATTTCTTAAATTACCTTTTGGTTTGAGCTCAAGTCCCTCTATTTTTGCAAGGTTTGTTAATAAAATTTTTAAATACTTGTGCCAACAAGGAAATGTTTTAATATATTTTGATGACATATTAATTGCTACTCAGACTATCGAAGAAAATCTAGAAGTGTTAAGAGAAGTTTTAATATTAGTTAGCCAGAATTTACTTGAGTTAAGACTAGATAAATGTTCATTTTTGGAAACAGAAATAGATTTTCTGGGTTACAGGATTAATGAAAATGGTATATGTCCTAATAAAGATAATGTGAAAGCTATTGCAGAGTATCCAGTTCCTACAGATACCAAGCAGGTGCATAGATTCTTAGGCCTTGCCAGTTATTTTAGACGTTTTATACAGAACTTCTCTATCATCGCCAAGCCGTTATATGACCTATTACGAAAAAATGTCAAATTTGAATTTACAATGACACATTTACAAGCTTTTGAGAATTTGAAGTCAAAACTGACATCAGAACCTATTTTAGCAGTTTATGATCCGAGTAGGGAAACAGAACTACACTGTGATGCAAGCCAAGTAGGCTATGGATCAATTTTACTTCAGAAACAAAGTGATGACAAATTTCACCCAGTGTTTTTCTTTAGCAAGAGAACAACTGACTATGAGTCTCGCTACCATAGCTACGAACTTGAATGCTTGAGTATTGTGTATGCACTTAAACGGTTTCATGTTTATCTACAGGGAATCCTTTCAAAATAGTTACAGATTGTGACAGTTTTCGCTTAACCATGAGTAAAAAGGATATAATTCCAAGGATTATGAGATGGTGTTTGTTATTGCAAAATTATGATTACTCTATTGAGCACAGAGTAAATACAAGAATGCAACATGTAGATGCCTTAAGCAGAGTGAGTTATGTACTGGTATTAGAAGGAAATACTATTGAACAAACTTTGGCTTTAAAACAGTCCAAGGATACAGTTATTTCAGATCTTCGAAAAAGACTTGAGGAGACAGATTATCCTTTCTTTGAATTAAGAAATGGGTTAGTATATAGAAAACTGAAAGATAACATTGCATTTTATGTACCAGAGAGTATGGAGTCAGCAGTTATCTATCACTATCATAATGAATTGGGTCATTTCGGAACAGACAAAACATTTGAAATTATTTCCAAGACATATTGGTTTCCAAAATTAAAATTTAAGATTGGAAATCATATTCAAAATTGCTTAAAGTGTATTGAATTCAATCCTAAAAGTGGCAAATCAGAAGGATATCTACATAGTATACCTAAGGGCAATTTACCTTTTGAAATGCTTCATATTGATCACTATGGGCCATTAGCTCCTTTTAATAAGAATAAATATATATTTGAAGTTGTTGATGGGTTTACTAAATTTATTAAGTTCTATCCTTGCAAATCAACAAATACAGGAGAAGTAATTAAATATTTAACTGAACATTTTGCCAATTATAGTGTACCGAGCGTTATCAGTTCAGACAGAGGATCTTGTTTTACCTCTCATGATTTTAAGAAATTTTGGAGGAGTATACAATCAAACACATACTGATTGCAAG